ATTATCACTTTGAGTTATCAGGTTTTTATCAATTATCTTCACATCTATCGCTAAATATGGAAATTGTCTTTGGTTAAACCCTTAGATCCTGTATTAGTCTAAGCTTCCACCGATTCTACGCAGTTAACCTGCCACGATTAAACATAATCTCTGTACTTCAAAACCAAGGTATAGTTCACTCTCTTTTCAATACTAGACCTCACGCGGTCTCAACTCCATTACTACCTTTCCTCAGGCTTACGCCCAGGATATGTTATCTCTTTACTACTTGTCTACACAGACATCCGGTCGTACGGCCATCAGGCTCAGAAAACACCAAAAACCTGACCCGGTACTCAGCCATACCTTCAGGTACTTACGTCCTTACTCAAGTACGTCCATTCGCTACCCCAAGGCCTCATTCTGCCTTCTCACTTATATCTAAAATCATCCCATTCCTACACCTAAACCTCCCAGATCCCTCAATGCAGGATCTCACGTTAAGCCCCTAACAAACCTTCTCCCAATACTATTCATACGACATCACGATACGTATAAATACATCAACATCTGTCTTAAACCCCCAGGATTCTTCCTCAAAGACAGCACTAAGACAAGACTCTCTACACTTATCAGGAGGCTCCAGATACCATTTGCGACCAGTCAAGGTTAGTATTCACACACCACTCCAGTCCTCTCACTTTACCCTTAAGCATACAATCGAACTGGCTATAGGGCACAGGCTAATGCCTTAGCCCACCCTATCAGGAAATCCGATCCCGCGAGGCCTATCACCCCCACCCCACCTCAACACGGAGGTACGGCCCCATGCCCAAACCATAGTTAAAAGCCTCGCATGCCCTACTACAGGGCTCTAGTTAGGGCCTCACCTGTCACGGCCACATGTTTTGATTTCTCTTATCGTCACCGAGAGGCCAACATCCCGCCACCACGTCTGTGGCACCTACGTCATAAGCCAAATCATAGGTAGAGCCTCTCACCGCCACTTGGCATTAGCAGGGCCTCACCTATCCAGTCATTCAATAGTTAAGTTTTTCGCCTCGGCATCTAGCATTACAGTCCAGTTCTTCCAGATACACCACTCCCCATACCCCCCTACTTACCTCACTCCCCTTCTAATATATCTTTCACATAATCATTCCTTTTTAGAATGTCCCAAGAACCAATTCCAACCGAAGAACTGACAGAAGAAACACCATTCACGCCAATCAGACCCGTGTCTCCAGGCGAATCACTCACTCTTTCAACCCCCACGTCCTTGAGAGCATGGACTATTCCCAAAATTACGGCCGAGCTTAGGCTCAGGGGAATCCCCTTTCCGGCCACAGCTAGAAAGGCAGAACTTTACAGGCTGCTTACCCACCAAGTCCCGAGCCTAGGCCGGGAACTAGCTCTCAAGGACAACCACCAAGAAACAGCACGGCCACCCAGGATACCCTGGCAGATATCTTGGCCAATCTACAGACCCTCAATAGCAGGCTGTCTAAGGTGGAGAGCGCCATCTCCTCCTCAGGTACTAACAACGAAGTCCCAGTCTCTACCACGGCTATACCTGCCATACCTACATGCCCCCCTATACTCCCCCCTCCAGCACCTGGCACAGCCATCACACCATTCGAGTCACCAGCACACTCCGTCCCAGACTCTATCAGGAAAGATATCCTAGACGGGAAGGATGTGTGTCTGGTGTCTTTACTCATAGCCTCTCAGGATATACTCGAGAACAAGGCATACAACTATGGTGACATTTCAGTCGTGCTCAAAACGAGGGATCCCAGGCTCAATAAAAAATTGTCTATCCCCCAGTTCGTGATAGCTTTCGGGATATACCGCGACGTCATTTGCACGGTGTATCCCCATAGGAGAGAAGAGCTAGATCTCTATCTCCACAAGGTAGTGGATCTAGGCATCAAGTACGGGGGCTCTTCCTTCTATGACTACCACAAGTCAGTTTCAGCGAAAGCGGCGACCCATCTCAAGCAGTTCAACATTAGAATGAACTGGGGTCAGATGGACACAGAACTTTTCTGTCGCCACTTCGCTGGACTCAGGCCCCCGGCTTGTGCCATATGTAATTCTACATCCCACATGGCGGACTTATGTCCCGTCGAATCAGATCCCACCACCTCCACTCCCACCCCTCACCCCACGTTCACACCTCACTCCTCTTTCACCCCTCACAACAAGCCAGCGGGTGGTCTTCGGGATAAGCTGGGTAGGCCCATCTCCTTTTTAGGTAAAGCGCAGGTGTGCAATAATTTCAACGCAGGCTCCTGCAGTTTCAGTGCCTGTAGATTATTGCACATCTGCTCCATATGTTTCAGGGCACATACCAAGACCATGTGTCCAGCCAGGTTGTCACCAAACAAATGACTAACCGACATAAATATCGACAACCTGTTTTTTTATCTAAGGTCTCACCCCAGCAGGCACTTGGTGGATTTTCTTACCACAGGTTTCTCACAAGGGTTTCACACAGGCATAGTAGCCATTCCCCCAGGTACACTAGAATGTCCTAATCTCCAGTCTGCACGTTTAGACCCAATCGCTGTAGACACTCTCATTTCCGCAGAAACCACTAACGGTTTCATGATCGGTCCCTTCACCTCTTCACCGTTTTCCTCCTGGCGCACTAACCCTATTGGTATTGCTATTCACAAATATTCTAATAAAAAACGTCTTATTATCGATTTATCGGCACCGCACTCCTCTTTTGTTCCAAGCATAAACGCACTCATTCCAGCAGACGAATTCTCACTTCAGTATGTTACCATCGACGATGCCATACAGTCCATCATTACATCTGGTAATCGACCCTGGCTCAGCAAAACAGACATCACTAACACCTTTAAATTACTGCCCATACACCCCTCACTCTGGCACTTACACGGTGTTAAATGGCGAGGGAATTATTACTTCTCAACACGACTCACTTTCGGTTCTCGAAGCATCCCCAAACTTTTCGACATTTTCGCAGAGTCACTATGCTGGCTGCTTCTGAACGTCATCAGGTGTCACTCCGTTATTCACTATCTAGACGACTTTCTACTGATAGAGCCAGGGTCATCAACGCCCACAGCAATCAAAAGTACTACCGCACTATTTTCCACACTTGGAGTCCCTTTGTCCCCAGCCAAAGCTATAGGACCCACAACAAAGTTGACCTTTTTAGGCATAGAGCTCGACTCTGTCAAACTCAGAGCTAGCCTTCCCCACGACAAACTTTCACGATTGAGAGGGGAGATAGACACGTTCCTGCGGAATGACGTTTGCACCAGGAGAGAACTTCAGTCCCTTCTCGGATCTCTGAACTTCGCCATGCGCATCATTCCGCAGGGAAGGTCTTTCATATCCAGACTTCTTTGCCTGCTCCACGGAGTCCCGACTCCGGCACAGTTTCTTTGGACCCCCACGCCAAGGCTGACTTAGCTATGTGGGGGAAGTTTTTGAAAGACTGGAATGGTATCTCCATGTTTATCCTCCCTCTCTTCACCCATCATCCACACAGACGCAGCAGCCAACACCGGTTTCGCAGCCATTTTCGGGAACCACTGGTTTAGGGGCCACTGGCCCACTGAGACGGATGCCTTTCCAGGATTCAGGGAGACCTCAGCCCTATTTGAAATTTACCCCATTGTGGCGGCCGCAGACACCTGGGGTCATCTCTGGTCCGGCAAGGCAGTAAAATGCTACTCAGATAACTCGGCAGCTTGCGATATCATTAACAAAGGGCGCTCATCATCCCTGACCAACATGCGGCTGATTCGCAAGTTGACCTGGCTGGCAGCATCCAATCAGTCTCACTTAATATGTTCTCACATCCCGGGTATTCACAACACCGCCGCTGGCGCTCTTTCTCGTTCTCGATTCCAGGCATTTTCTCAGGCACTCCCAACGGCTCACCAACAGCCATCCAGGACACCACGGTTTCACGAACTAATCTTGGATTAAGCACACTCTTGCTTCACGCTAGATCACTCACTCACCAAGCATTATCACCCAACACTGCTATCACTTACAATAGGGCACTTAACATATTTAACAAATTCACTGCAGAATTCGGGCTACAAGGTGACTTTTCTATCCAAACCATGGTGTCTTTTGCCTCTTTCTGCCACCTACACCTTAATCTGTCGCACAACACCATTAAACTTTACCTCACCGGGGTTCAGCACCACAGCCTCACCAATTTTCCTAACAGCACTCCTTTTTTGTCTTCATACCCCATTAAAAAGGTCTTGAAAGGTATATCAAAGGTTTCACCTCCACTCACAAGCACTAGATTACCCATAGACGGGCCTATCTTCAGGTCACTTAGCAATCTCCTTGACACAGCCCCATTTGATAGCAACACCAATACGGTGATCAAATCTGCTATATATCTCGCTTTCTATGGTTTCCTCAGACCTAGAGAGTTCACCGTGGTTTGTCAAGGAGATATCGCGCTAAGCCTTAAAACTTCATACCTCACCAAGATAGAGGATCACTACCTACTTTCTATCCCTACCACTAAAACCAACCGGTCAATATACCCTACAATAATTCCTCTCTTCCCTACTGATAATGCCTGGTGTCCGGTGAAAGTTCTAGACCAACTACGGTCAACTCTTCACGCTCACCTGCCAGACTCTCCGCTCTTAACATTACAAGGGCACCCGCTTACCACGGCAAAATTGATGTTACATGTCAGAACCCTGTTATCTAAGCTCGGACACAACCCGGCTGCATTCTCCGGGCACTCCTTCCGCATAGGAGCCGCCTCAGCAGCCTCTAGCACAAACGCACCGGTCCACATCATCAAAAGGCTGGGGCGATGGAAATCCTCCATATATAACGCATATATTCCACAACCGGAGAAAGAGCTTCGCCAAGCTTTCAGGAACTTGGTCTTGTAAAATGCAATAAAGTGTGTATTTTCTCGAATTTATCTTTTGCCCTCTTTTATTTACAGGCCCACTCGTACGTTGGTTTCGGCACACCACAACCAACTTTGCTCACAGATACTATCCATTACGTATTTAAATTCCGAGCACATATATATATATATATATATATATATATATATATATATATATATATATATATATATATATATATATATTGTGCTCGGAATTTAAATACGTAATGGATAGTATCTGTAATATATATATTACTCAATCATCTGTCCTGGCAAGACATAGCCTTACATATTACACGCGACAATATATGGCACAGTGACTTATGGGGCTGGCACAATTTTTTTTTCCAGGGCTGCTTTGTATCCCCAGTCCGGCCCTGGCTATATCCTTGCATGTAAAAGGGTTATGTAACACACATGCGTTCTGGTTTGACAGTGTTACGTTATCTGCGGCATATGTGCCATTTCCATACCACTGGTTGCTTGGGCTCCGTCTCTGGGTGTGTATATGTTGGAAGGCCATTTGGCCTGAATTTGTGGGAGGAGTTATGACCCTTTTATAAACCCTACCCCCCTACTTACCTTTCCCGTTCAAGCTGTTTTGACTTCCATAGTTACCTGCACTTCCGGTCCGTTGTTCCCGCCAGTCTTGCCTCGTACAAGCAGTCAGTCTTCTGCAGCTCCTGCCGTCGTCCTCCGGGCTCGTCCACCGGCTGCCCCGCGGTATTCCCTACTCGTTACCCGGCTGTCGAGCTTCCGGTCACGAGACCGGCACGCAAACGTAAGCATCAACGTGGGAAATAGCGTTTGGCTATTTCCCACGTTCGGGCCTAAAAACATGGGGATAGGCTCCCTAGATATATATTACTTACCCATTGGTGTAAATCCGCCGTTCGTGTACTTATGCGTGTACTTCTTTTTAGCCGACCGCAAAGTACACACGCTTTTCGTTCTTTCTTTCATTTAAAAAAATATTTTTTTACCGAACGCTTATACTCACCTTACGTTCGCCTGTTTCTCACTTTCGTTAGACGAAACACGTACAAACAGCTGTGTCACTAGCATTTTGTTTCATAAAATCTATCACACGCAGTCCTATTATATTCCTCTTGCACGTTCGTTAGACGAACGCATGAGGTTTTAAGCATTTTAATTTTTATATTTACGTATGTTCCTTTATATACTATTTTATATCATATGTTCACGGTTCTACCTACATTTTCCCTTCGTCTAAATGGCATTATTTGCCACTCATTGTCACAAATAATTATGTATATGTTCCCAGGGGTATTCTCTTAAAGAAACAGTTTTCCCCTTTACGGTTTGTTTTTTCCTCTCTCAAAGGGCTGAGCCCCATCAGACCTCTTAAATTTATCAAGCTCCACGCTCACTTTTTTCAGTAGCTCTGTTTATATTGAAATACTATACTCAGGTTCCTTATTCTTACTTAATGAAAATGTTTTATGTTGTACTACTCTTTCTTCAAGAAGACTCCAGGAGGTGGTTCCAGTATCCCGTGTCACGGTATCAGATAAAGGTTAAAAATGTTACGTTTCTCCTGAGGCCTCATTTCAGCCTCCACAGCCTTTTTTACAATACCCTCCCACCTCCCAAAGTGGGCTCAAAACTTTAAACACACCAGGTTAAAGATGCCTCACTCTCCATGTTACTATTATATTAAGTGTTAATTCTGTTTTAATTTCTACATATCATTACTTAGACCTGCACCATTGCGCAGATTCACTACGCCTTCAACGACCATCAGGCTACCTGGTTCCCGACGTTTCAGTAGCAGGTATCCTTAAATCTTACTCACTACAATTATGTCCTTCTAAGGCCTCAGTTATTTAAAATTGTATACAATGTAACATTCTTCATCTTTCACTGGGTAAGTATATTAGTACTTTGACACCTCGGAACTTCGGCAACTTCGGCACTTCGGCAATTCGGCACTTCGGCACTAGTACACTTTGGAAATTCGGTCTAAAAAATTTGGACCAACTTTCAGGTCCCTCTGATTACACAGGTGTTTATGATACAGTTTTACTGTTACACACCATTCCATATGTTCTACATTTTTACACTTGGCTTACCAATGACACGCCTCAGGCCTAGGTTCCTGGACTGGACCTGTTCTTCACAGTAAATATAGACAAATATATTAAAGTCGCCCCGAGCATTGTCCAAATATACAGAGCAAACACTCAAGCTCAGTATCTACATATGTTATATACTTCCTTCAAGAGACAACACATTCACTACACATCCTCTACTCAGCTCACCTCCAATCAGCCGGGACACCATCGTTCCTCCGGCTAACCCTGGTTTAAACAAACTATTACTCCACGCACAAACACTCACGCACTGTCTCCCAACACCACTATTTTTAATGCTAGGGCACTGCCTATCTTTAACAAATTCACAGCCGAGTTTTGCTTACAAGGTGACCTTTCCATCAAAACCATGGTGGGTTTTGCCTCCTTTTGCCATTTACACCTAAAACTTTCACATAATACCATCAAACTCTACCTTACCGGAGTACAACACCACATCCTCACTAACCTCCCTAACCACGCTCCTTTTCTTTCTTCCTACCCCATTAAGAAAATCCTCAAATGTATTTTCAAGGTCACAGTCCCTCCTAGCACGACTAGGCTACCAATAGACGGTCCAATATTCCGGCTCCTTAGCGACCTATTGGACAAATCCCTGTTTGACCATAATACTAATTTAGTCATGAAATCTGCCATCTTTTTTGCTTTCTACGGTTTCCTCAGACCTACAGAGTTCACCGTGATACGTCAATGAGACACAGTACGATGCCTCAAACTTTCTCACTTAAAGAAAGTAGACGACCATTTTGTACTCTCTTTGCCTTCTACCAAAACTAATCACTCAGCCTATCCCACTATCATTCCCCTCTTCCCTACCCAGAATTTGTGGTGCCCTGTACATGTTCTGGATATTCTCCTGGTTTCTCACCTCACGCACTCACCAGATACTCCACTACTTCTACTCCAAGGACACCCACTCACCACAGCTAAATTTATGTCACACATCGGAACTCTATTGTCAAGGTTAGGCTACAACCCAGTAGACATGTGTAATTGGTTTCGGTCCGAATTAAAATTCGGCCGAATTTCGGGTAATTCGGACATTAGGTGCTTCCGAATGTCCGAATAGGGGAAGTGCCGAAATTACCGAATTTCCGAAGTGTTGTAGTGCCGAAGTGCCGTTTTGCTGAAGTGCCGAAGTTCCGAAGTTGCTGAAGTTCCGAGGTGTCAAAGTACTACCGTGTTTCCCCGAAAATAAACCCTACCCCGAAAATAAGCCCTAGTCGGATTTTCGGGGTGGGCTGCAATATAAGCCCTACCCCGAAAATAAGACCTAGGCATTGTACCTTTGCGGCGAGACTTCCTTCTTCTGCTGTAGGAGGAGCGTCGCGCAACGTGATGACGACATTTTGCAGCGCCGTCAGTCTGCCTTCACGGATCTTCAGCGGAAGGATCCATTTCCGGGCGGTGAGGCTCCCAGTGGTCGGACTCGGCAAGGAATCTTTGAAATGTGAGTACCGCTAGATATTTTATGTCTGGGATTAATTGAATTAATTAAAGGGGGTGGGGTGGGTGAATTAAAGGGTGGGCTGGATTAATTAGAGGGGGGTGAATTAATTAAAGGGTGGGCTGGATTAATTAGAGGGGGGTGAATTAATTAAAGGGGGGTGAATTAATTAAAGGGTGGACTGGATTAATTAGAGGGGGTGAATTAATTAAAGGGGTGGTGAATTAATTAAAGGGTGGGCTGGATTAATTAGAGGGGGTGAATTAATTAAAGGGGTGGTGAATTAATTAAAGGGGTGGTGGATTAATTAAAGGGGGGGTTCAATGTACATACCGTAAATAAATAAGCCCTACCCTGAAAATAAGCCCTAGTGTGTTTTTTGTGACTAAAATTAATATAAGACCCGGTCTTATTTTCGGAGAAACACGGTAATATACTTACCCAGTGAAAAAAGAAGAATGTTACATTGTATACAATTTTAAATAAAAAGTATACAAACATAGCCAGGATTCAGCTGTAAGCATTTGCAACATATAAAATGCCAGTCAATGTAATGACAGGAATGAATAAGTAGATAACTCCCTAATTCCCACGGTATTAGGGAGCTATCTCCTAAAAGGCTGAAATACCTAAATTGGTCTTTCAGCCAAATTTACTAATACTAATTATTGGAAATTTTAATTACCCGGAAATAAATTGGGACAGAGGGACTAGTAGCTCAGCAAAGGGAATTAGGTTTTTAAACTTGTTAAATGACACCTTCATGTCACAACTTGTACAAGCACCAACTAGAATGGACGCTTGTCTGGACCTGGTTTTAAGAAACAACGTTGATCTTTTGACCAACATTCAGGAGGTGAGCACTTGGAAAATAGTAATCACAATATAGTGTGCTTTGAAATAAACTCAAAAAACCAAAAGCACATGGGGTATACTAAAACATATAATTTTAAAAAGGCCAATTTTAATAAGTTAAGGGCAGCTTTACAATATATTGACTGGCATAAACTCTTTAGTGAAAAGAACACCGAGGATAAATGGATCATCTTCCAACAAATATTAGAAAGGTACATTTCTCAGTATGTACCATTGGGAAATAAATATAAAAGAAACACATTAAAACCAATGTGGCTTAGTAGAGAAGTAAAACAAGAGATTAAAAAAAAGAAAAGGGCATTTAAAGCATTTAAATCGGACAAATCAGATGCATCTTATAAAAGATATAAGGAAGCAAATAATGCGTGCAAAAAGGCAATTAGAGGGGGCGGAGCTAGCAGCCGAGCCTGCAAGACGCATGAAACCCAAGCTCCGACATTACAGCAGCAAACTAGCCACGGATTCCGTAAAATACACCTCCAAAAGCTGGGAAAAGGCTGCAAGAGACTTAGCACAATATGGGGAAACACTCACGAAAACCCCGAGGGTCGTCCGCGTGACATACCCAGGACATCGGGCAACTCCTGTCCCAGGCCTGCAGGCCCAAAATGGCGGACGTCTTTCACACCATGGGGATGGAATCACTCTCTGCCTCAGAGGATGAATACTTGAGTGATATGCCAACCCCGACACCCCAAAGGAAGCAACAAACAGCGCCACCAAGGCAGTCAGAACCGCCACTAGCCACTAAGGCTGACCTAACAGGCATGGTGACTGACCTTAAGGCATTCTTCACGGCTG